CTTGAGATTAAACTTTTGATAACTCTAAGTTAGGAACCATATTGCATATAGACGCTAACACGAACACATACACATGCGCATACACCCGAGCAAAAGTAATAGGACCAGTATGAAAGAAAATTAACCAAACCACTCTATATCGATCTAAGTTTTTAATTTTCTTTTGGCTCAATTGAGTCTATATAAGAAGTAAGATAAAGCCGGATATTGTTCTTGCTTTAGTATTAACATGAGACTTTTACAAGAATGACACTCAGCTCTGATGATGTCCATCATATGATGGACGAAAGCTCAGCACGTTTTCACCGGAAACGAGGAAGGAAGTCTCGAGGACTGCGTCAACATGAATATCGTATAAAAGCCAAACGGCTGCAGTACAACGAGATTCATCCGTCCTCATCGGGTGAGATCGACCAACGAATCTCTTCTTTATGCACTTTTATCCGAAATGCAGGTCCCCGTAACAATGTTATCTCAGGAGATTCATTGAAACCAACTTTCTCTTCATATCTACAAAACCTACTCTGCCACAAAATATGATGGGATAAAGAGTACAGTGTGAAACGGACTTGGAATTTGTGCGCTTTTAAGTAAAATAAAGTTGGCCAGAAGGGATCCGTAAATTGGCCACTCCGGTAGGCAGAGGAGGCGACTGCATGTGTCTGTGAAGATCTATTCTGCCAATATCGTCCTTGAATCTGATCCATCTGTATCCTAGTCCTCGTTTTCTCCGCCCTAGCAGTCGACATTATTGCTGGAAAACATTATTTGCCAAAGTTCTACCAACTACTTTTCTGCAATTCTGCATACTTCTTATCGCCTTACTTCGTCCACTTATTATGGCATACTTTGATTTGGTTGAATATGCCATAGTTTTCTTTCACACTCCAAAATCAGTAAAATGAATAACCAAAAGCGTGATTCTCAATACATTCTATTATATTTCTGATGTTGTAATGTTGACTCGAGTAATTTTTTTCATCCAAACTCTTAATGTATGTTTACAGTGCTCTTAAGTTGTGTGAAGTTTGAGAGCCATAAACAAATCTGAAACTACTTGTCGGAGTCATCGGGATAATAGCAAAGTGAGCCGAGGTTCTTAGCAAAATTCAACAGACAAAAGTCCAAGGCAACCCTCCTTCGGTAAAATCAACTCGTCTATACAAGTGTAAATATTTCTGTCCGAAAAAGCCTATCAAAATGTTCTATAAGGGTTGCATAGTCGTGGGAAACAGAGGTTAAAAGTACCAAGAAGTTTTAGCTACTGACTTCTTGCACGATAGGGTTTAGAACGCTCGTACGCTACGGCTTAGATACCTATGAATTATCATGAGCCATCAAGAGCACTCTGCTTTTCCGAAATGTCCTCCCTCTCCTTATAGTTTAAAACATGACATGATGTATTATTTGTTGTCACGTGTTCGCCCAGTTCCGATCTTGGGGCATATAGATTAGCCCTCCTGGATGGGTTGGCAGAACTCTCTGATATAGACACAACGGCATGAGCATCAAGCCTTGTAGCATTAAGAAGTAAACAGAGGAGCGAAAAATTCTCGAAAGAAGGAAAAACTCAATGAAGTGTACGTTTCTTCATTTTCTTTGTTGAAGCCACTTAATTTCTCAGAATTTCGTCTACCCTCTTCGAATGCTGACAAAAATACTGAACAGCAGGAGCAAACATTTGTCTATCTGTCTGCCTAACAGTCGGTTGCCGCTTTCCCGCATTTCTTAGAATAGTAATGAAAAGGAAATATCTACTAATTCTAGCGCATAATTGTTTTTATAATCTCTCATTTCATAGCCTCTTCTTTGACTTCACAATTGCTAGTATAACAGAAATGATTAAGGAAGCCCGCATTTGCGAGTTTTCTAAGCACATATCTACCAAGCTTGGCTACTTCTTTATTGAATAGGCTAACCAAAAATGATAGCCTATCCGGCTTTTATAGCTCCATAGTAAAGCTAGTAATCCCCTGCACGAAAATGACTCGGATACATTACAGTTGGGCTTGTAAAGTCGCTTGTCAATATAGCGTCAAGTGGGCCTGTGGCCTTGTTACACAATTAGAGCTGTCAAGCCGACCAGAGGTAAGGGGTTAAACGTCAAAAATGCAATGAAAGCGATCAAAAACTGTATGTGTGAACCGAGTTAGTACGACCGGCCAAAAATGGCGACTGTACGACAGGGTTCGTTGGGACGAGGCCTATTTCTTCATACACACAAAGGAGCGGTTTTCACCCACCGCCAAAACCGTTACCTTCCAGCGCTGTGGAGTGTGTCACTTACACACCCTCAGACTGGTATGCAATTCCTACCCTTGGCCGGGCATGCCGGCATGGTCACTGGCATGTGTATGCAATTTGCTCGGCTCTCCTGCCGGCATAAGTTGCTCCGAGGGGTGCTGCCATCCCCATGAACACCTGTATGCCCCGGCTACCCTTGTGAATTTCTGTCATGCTCAGGATTTCAGTCTGGCCCGATGTGGGCTATGGATGAGGCTGAAGTGGGCGAAAGTGAGAGAGAAGAAGCTCGTGTTTACGAGGGAAGGCGGACGGACAAGATGACGGAGGGGTGAACAAGGCGACGCAATTGCATGGGCTATGGGTGCGGTGTATTTTTGAGAGAGTGTACGTGCCCACGAGTCGGCATGTGAATTTCGCAGTGGACTCAAGTCTTCACTGGAGTGGCAATAAATGGAAAGAGTGAAATGAAACGGGCAAGACACAACAGCCATGATGCATCATTATGAGTCGGAGGCTTGCTGTAGGGCGTGTGCAAACAACACATAACTAAAGCAGGCGTAATGATACACATTTCAATGAAAACGATGTAATTGTCAAAATCCATTTACTTTGCCCTCTTTTTTACGGCCCGACTACACACCCCTCCAAGTCCCCTGCATACCGTCGGCTGCATTTCGCCGGAACTCCACGTACCCACGCATCTGAGAGGTCGGATGTCATGTCGACAGGTCAGGATCAGATCAGTTCGTGGCCCTAAATTGCAGGTGCCGGACGTTTGTGGAACTCTTTTGCGGGCCCAGAAATTATGGAGGGATTGGGGTGGGTGCAGTGGCGCCTCGTTTCTGTCCAGCTTTCGTTCCACCTCATGGACAGTCGGGCTGTTGGGGTGTATACATGCGAAGAGACCGGTCATCTTCTGACATGCAGGTGAGGCTTTGGTCAGCCGAAGGGTGGCCTGGACAACGCGACCAAAAGAGGACTCCTCATTGTGGACTCAGTCGTTTCCCTTTTAAGTAACCCGGATGCCGTAGGAACAATGTGGTTACCAAAGTGAGTTGATACAGGCATGATAATCGACCCATAATTGTGAAGTAATCTACGTTGGGCGACTGTACGCGGCTCCTTTTAGACTGTACACCACGAGTCGCTCAGTGCTTCACCACCTGACAATTGGGCAAGCCACAATTAAGGGAAAGCGTTCAGCTCTTTTTTCACCTCATCACGGTAGTCCATGTGAAAATACAACAATTCAGCCTACGGGATATTCGTAGTATAGATATAGTTATTCTATTTTATTGTGCAGAAAAGGCCTGACAAGCAACCATTTATTCTGATTTGTGGAATTTATCTGAATATTGGGTATAAAAATAATAGAATATTACAATTTTCCGTTCATGACTATCCTCAGGAGTCCTGCTGACGTCAGGCAAGACTGCAATTTTGCCCAAAAGTGTCTATTCTGACATGGTGGCCATTTAGGGGTGCGCTCGGTGTGAAAATTCTCAAACGATATTGTGAACGCTTTACACGCAAACGCGTTGTTTGGATTTCCGCAGAATGTTGAGGCCGAAAATCGCTCTCTATCCCAAACGGAAAAGCTTGTTGGGAATGGATTTATAATGGTAATACCTTTTATTAAATGCTGAAGCCATTCAATGAAATCTACCACAATCAGCCATTTATTCAAGTTTTGGGAATTATTCTGAATATTAGGTATAAGTAGTATAGTATACATTCGTAAATGCCTGCATTTGAATCTGGTTCTTCTTGTGCAAACATAGCCTCAAATCTAAAGTCGGCCTCTTTTATCACCTAATACGACGTAGAAATACTCATTCAAGTTTAACAATAGTTTCGAAACCAGCTTTGTATGAATATAACTGGAGGTACGAAGAGTAACTGGGTTTCGATAAATCTCCTGAGATAATATTGTTGGCGAGATCTTCATTTCGTATGAAAGCGCATGAAGAAGAGATTGGAAGGTTCATCTCACCAGAA